CTGAGAAACCTCTTGGCAAATAGGAAGCAAAGCTGAAGAGTAGACCAGGATGCTTGAAGCGGTTATCAAAGGGCTGATGCTACAGCAGGGAGTGACAGCAGTGCCTTGAAGAGTAGGTATATCTTGAAGAGTGAGTAAGAGCTCCTCGTGGCTGCGCTGTCTCCTGTATGAGGCCCAGCCTGGAAGAGTTTATTATCATGCTTTGTGCCCTGCTCCAAGCACTGCAGGTTGGGAACTGCTGTTCTAACCAGCAAGCTGTTAACAGAAAACGGTTTTGCCGTTTCTCCGGCTGTGGAGGTAAGTAAGGAGCTGTGGCTGCTGGGTTTTGAGAAGCTGAAGGTCAATGCCAGCCAGACTGTGGTTGTGTGACATGGATCGCATGGTGAAGAAGGGAGAGCGGCAGCTCAGCGCACCGCGTTGCAGCTGGAGGTGAAGAGGGTGTTTGTCATCCAGGTGACAGGTAGGAACCCTGGACCTGTGTTGCGTGATGCAAAAAACAGTCATCTGTCACAGCACCTCTGTGCTGGTGCTGGCTTTGCAGTTGTTGACTTGGGTACTGATAGCAGGGTAGTGCTGGCTGTATTGGATTGCCTTTGAACTTGCACAGGTAGTATTTGGACAGCTCAAGTCAGGCTAAAAGGCCAAGAAGTTGGATTCATGTGATAGGAAGCGCTCCCAAGTTCAGACCTGGAAATCTTTGAATACTTATGTTTTAAAGCTCCAGTCAGATCAGCAAATGAATTCTGATGCGGGTGAGGGGGTTGAGACCTGTCCCACTTATCCCAGGGAAAAGGGTTTTTCATTAAGGTAATGAAATGGGGTATGAAAGAAGGCAAGTAAAAGGCTGTCTCTTAAGCCAGGCAAGCAGCCAGCCATAACTGCGTCTTTCTTCGTAGCTTCTTTTTTCTGTCCTTGCTCTTTGGATGCGTGAGAAGGGTTACAGTCTGGTTGCTGTGAGCAGCTCGAGAGCTGTGTGTTGTGAAGTGGGGGGAGGAGGAGGATTCTAACCGCTAACGAAGACTCGCATCTCTTGCACGGTTATTCAGTGGTGATTGTAAACCGACCCTTCAACCCAAGCAGCAGGAGGCAGTTGCTGCTGTAGGGAGTGTTGCTGCTACCGGCACGTACCTGCCATGCTTCTGCCCTCCCGAGATCCTTTCACCTAACGATAATTTTACGAGGGTGAGTTAGCAAGCTCTTTTGCACTGATTGGTGAAACTAATATGAGTGGTGGAGCCAAGTAGCATCCTGGACTCTGTTCAAACCATGAAATTCCGAGGGCTGTATTGAGTCATGGCCAGGAATACTTCATCTCTCCAGCGGTGACGCTCGTCCCAGGGGTATGTGTACACCTGGACAGTCCCTGTCGCTCCCGAGGATCCAGGGTGTCCTCTGCTGCCTTGCTGAAGGGCAGGACAGCTCCGTCCCTCCGGCTTCTACCATGTTTGGGGAGGATCTAGCAGGTTCTTGGTCAGGCCAAGCTCCTTCAGATTTTAATATCCTCGGCACGCTTGCTGACATAAAAGTTTGGTCTGTTGCAGCTGATGGATTGACAATTCTGTTGAATTTTGATCAGAAACTCCATGGCTGGCTTCTCTGATTCCTGAAGTAAGAGCCTCTACGGGTCAAGCTGAGCTTGTGGCGCAGTAAATGAATCTTCCAGGACAAGTTAAATTTCTGTGCTGTCAAAGGATCTTGTATGCATAGCAGGTGCTCAGGGCCTTTGGTTTTATCTAGAGAAAGCACAATGCTGAAAGTCTGCCTCCTGGTTGGATCGTAATCCCCTCGCCCATGGAATCGGCCTACACAATTATCGTGGACAAATCTGAACCATGTTAATAGTTGATGTGGATTTGATTAAGTCCCTCGCAGAGGGATTAGTCTCCTGGTGATCCTAACGGGAGTCTCAAAGCCCCTTTAGCATCTCAGGTTTCGGAGCAGCGCATTAATGGGTTGAGTTCAAGCCTTGAGACAGCTCGGTTTCCTCTTGCGAAGGACAACGCACTAAATTATTGGGACGTGCGTTCTCCATCCTCCCTCCACGAGATTGAGAACTGGACAGCAGATGAGCTTGTGTTCCAGTCTACAAAGGTGATTGACCCAGTCTAAAACTGGGAATAAAGGGGAGCTGAGATGAAGGGCAAGCTCACAGCTGGCAAATAGTCTGCTTGTCAAAGTGGTTTTGAGCACGGATATGGTAACTGGTGAGCTTAACGGAGGTTTATTTAATAAAAATACCTAAAAAGCTGCTCGTTTTTTTTCTTCTGACTTGGATATTGTTTTCATCCAAAACAATCGGGACGCATGCTTCGGAAGCTGATAACGTTTGTCACTGTTTTCTAAACCAAAGGCAGCTATAAAATAGGACTTTATAGTTATTTAACAGCCTTCTTAAGTGAGTAAATTATGAAAATGCAGGAGAGCTTACTTCCATCAGAGATTTTTTTTAATCCTTATTTGTAATGGTACTTTTGTTATTTGAAGTCATTTGACTTGAGCATTTGCTCTGCACAGTGAGATATTCGAACAGAGCGCACCGGTGAGTTGCCGCCTCTCTGGGGTGTCTTTAACGATGTTTAAGATTTTAAAGGTCTTGTTTGGCATTAGAATGTCAGGTGAGGGCAGACTTCTGTGGCTGGCTGATCTCAGCTCCCAAGCCTGACTTGAACCAGCTCTGCAGTATTAAAATGACAGGCTTAATCTGTTAATGTGTGTATGTTTGTCTACACAGTAAGCTAAAATGGGCTGCGCAGTAACAGCTGGTAGGCAGCTTAAGAAGCTGCTGCTCCCTAGCTGCTAGCTTCTCCTCTCTCCTGAGAGGAAACTTGTAGATTCTATTGGTACCAAAATTTCAGGATTCGGGCTGGCCCACCTTCCTAGGACGCGTTTCACGTATGTTTGTCCTGTTACTACGCAGAAGGAGCACTTCTCTGTTGCTGATGCTGCTTTACCTGTACGTGTTCTCAGGGTGTGTGGGTTTTCTGGGCAGATCAAGGAGGTGGAGAGTGATGCTGTGGTTGTGACACCACTGAGTACGTGTGGTATCTGTACAGTGTCCTGTGTCTTTTCGCCAGAGATGTGGAGTAAGTCTATATCTTCATGCACACGGGAAGGGAGCAGTGTGCGTGATACGAAAAGGCAGCAAATACCTTGCCCCTTTTGTGGTTAAGTTAGTTCCAGCTTAGAATGAAACTCCGTTCGTTGCTTTGTGCAACAGTCAGAACACACTGAGCGGCTGTTGTGTGGCCGTTTTTTATATTTGTCTCTCACAGAGCATAGAAGCTCTCAAGAGGTGCTATAAATGCTTTTAAAGATACGTGAACATGATTCAGGTGGTACCATTGCACTCAAAGACGCAACACGTTCAGCAGTTTACAGTCAGTTCAGAAGTGTAGACCCCACGTCAGCGAGTCTTTGAGGATCAGGGTCACATCCGTTGGGTTACTTACATACCATGGAAGGGGCACACTGGACACTGTCCAAGACCTCGACTGCTTGGGTTTTAGTTATTCTTTTGGAATATGCGCTTTCCCTAAAAGCGGCAAGGCAACTAGCATTGGAATGCTGTTGGGGTTTAACCTTGGCTAGCACTAAAATACCATGCAGCCGCTTACACACACACACATCCCACGCACACCCTCCCCACATCCTCCAGTGGAAGAGGTGAATCAGAGGAAAAGACATGGAAGCTCGTAAAATTGAGATAAGAACTATTTAAGGATTGAATATAAATTAATATTACAGTAATACTAATAATATTAACACTACTACTACTACTACGTAATTAAAATAATAGAAAATAAAACATGAAATAATTGCTCTCCACCCACTGACCGATACACAGCCTGGTCCCAAGTAGCAATACTCAGAGCCCGAGAGTGATGGCAGCAGAGTCTGAGTGAGCCCCATGAGTGACAGCACGGCCGGGAAGCCAAGTGACTCACTAACGAACCGGCAAGCTAAGGAGTGAGCAGAAGAGTTAGCAGAGGAATGAAAGACTGTTATGGCCCCCCAGCCCCCTCCCTGCTTCTGTACTGAGCATGATGTACTGTGGAATGAAACACTCCTTCAGTCAGTTTGGGTCAGCTGTCTGAGAAAGTTGGTAACACAGCAAGTATCAGAAGCTGGGCAAGACCTTGAATTTGGTGCAAGCACTCCGCAGCACCAGCTAAAAGGACAACGTACCAGTACTTTTGTCAGGGTAAATCCAGAAACATAGCTTCATACCAGCCACTGTGAAGAAAGTTTACTCTCTCCTGACTCAAACCAGCACAAATGCAGGCGTCCTCAGGGAGCCCGCTGAGGGTGTCCTTGGTGAGCAGCTTCTTCCTGGTAGCAGCAGGTAGGAGCTAGACCATCCTGAGGTAAGGGGCCTGGCGATGAATAGCCAGATCACTGTCTGCTGGTGCCTGTTCAGCACTGCTGATCTCTCATCCCTTTTGTTCAGATTGGACCGAGCCTTTCTGTGGGTGTTCTCTGTGCCTCAGATGTGCCTGGAGTGCTGATCTGCATCAGTTGATGAGCTGGAGGCGGCAAAACAAACACGATATTTGATAACGATAATAAGGTAATGCAGATAGGCCACATTACACGGCTCTAATTAGCAGAGGAACTGCTGGGCGTAGAGGAAGAGATGGCTCAATCCAGGGATGCCATCCCTCCATCTGTGGTCATTTTGTTGCCAGCTGGGTACAGCCAGGGAAGTTGTTTGTGGCTCCATATGTTTAAATTGCCTCTGACTTTGCTTTTCCAGTTGCCTGTGACCTGCTTTTAGAAGTTTTTAAACTGTTGTGCTTGGAAGAGGACTGGAAATCTGGCTGGCAGAAAGTGCCCTGGGCGAGAGAAATGCCTCTTGCACATGCAGTGACGCTCCCTGCCGGGTTAGTAAAGCGGAGCTGAGGAATACTTGTTTTCCTCGGTAGCTTAAGCGAGAGGAAGAAATCTGCCCCTCTGGAAAAAACCTGGGTCAGTTAGTTCCCGTGCGTTCTGGGAATGTGCAGAGAAGGTTCCCTTTCCTGACATACGGCTCCAGTCGTCTCGCAGTGTCTCCGGAGCGCTACGGCGGCCCCGTCAAACGCCGGCACTGGCGCTCGCGTTGGGTATGGCTTGGCAGAGGCGCCCGGCTCAGCTCAGCTCAGCTGGTGCCGTAACGTTTGCTCAGCGTTTCTGACAGATGCACCGCTTGGTCACGCGTAGCCTTTCTTCACATCGTCTCTGCTCGGCGATCGCACGATGAGCTGGCTTTGTCAACAGCGGAACGAACACGCTGTTCGTAGCGCCGTCTCCATGCCATGGACCCGCTGCGGCGAAATCCTGGTCTTGGAAGAGCGCTCGAAGCTTGTGGGTGTGCAGTGAGGAAGGGGAGGGAAGCCTGAGGGGATCCCAGAGGAGGAGAGCAGTGAGGAGTAGCTGTCAGTGCTGGCGGAAGAGTTGTTCCAGCCGGCTGCCGCGTTGCCGGCAAAGGCGGCGCGGATGGTTTCACATGGTTGCGTGGGATTGAGAGTGGTTGTTAGGCAGCTGAGGTGGTAGTTGGACTGAAATGTGACAGGAGGGAGTCTGCGCCTCAGCGCAGGGTTGCAAGTCAGATGACTTCCGTCGGGAGTCCAGGAGGTCATGGTTTTTCAGGCCAGTTTAAATATCAAGTAATACCTAGCTTTACGTGTGCTTTTGCAAATGGAGTTGTTCAAAAAACCGTAACAGTTGCCTGAGTGGCGTGCACTCTCCCCTCTGTTTTTTCTGCCCTTGCAGCAGGCAGCAGGAGTATTGACTAATCTCTGTTTGTACCGGTTTCACGCGGAACTCTTGCTGTCAGGACATGGGATGGCCTGCAATACTGAGGGCACCCCTGTGGTTCTTGAGGTAAAAGCTTCTAGGTGTTGTGAAACAGAATAGCTCTGGACTTGGGCAGTCGGAGTGCCGAGCGCTGCCGTAGTTTACAGAGCTAGGACGAGCGAACCTGAGCTGTGTTGAACACATAGATGGAGAAATCTGTCAAAAGCTGTGTGTTAAAAACCCCAAAAACCTGGTTGTGCTTAAGCTAAGGTCTGCCTGTGGTGCTAACGAAGCTCACTGGAACAGCGTTTTGTCTTGTCCGCGCTGGAGAAATGTTTGGAGGAAGCCCAGGATTCATGGGTGAGCCCCGACGGCCATGGGAGTCGTGTATCCAAGCACAAGTCTCCAAGTGCTTCGTTTCAGGGGAGGCTGGGAATTAACTGCAGTTACTTATTGGAATTTGTTTGACAGCGCTTGCGGTACAGTAAGAGCTTAATGACCTGGCCTCACGGCAGCAAAAACCTGCTTGCCTTTGCGCACAGGGCTTTGTAAAACGCAGTTTGTCTTTGCTTACCCAATAGACCTTTTCCAGTGGTCAGCCTGAGCTGCTGGCGTGAAATCGGGTTTCTGGAGTGAAGGCAGTGAAATAGCACCTGCACCCGCTTACGAAGGCGCATCCTACCTTTGTGTCCTAAATGTGGTTTTTCTCGCTAGGCTAAAGAAATTCTTACAAAGGAATCGAATGTGCAAGAGGTACGTTGCCCCGTCACCGTCTGCGGGGATGTCCACGGTCAATTCCACGACCTTATGGAACTCTTTAGAATCGGTGGGAAGTCGCCAGACACAAATTACCTGTTCATGGGAGACTACGTGGACAGAGGCTATTACTCGGTGGAAACGGTCACTCTCCTAGTAGCGCTGAAGGTATGGTTTGGCAGCTTGTCTGCAGCAGCCTCGGGCAAAGCCGTGCTTTCGGGGAGTTGGGGAAGAATTGCTCTTCCCATTGATGCTGCCTGTGGCTTGAGCTAGACGGGCCTGGATGGAAAGGCACTAATGGCCGCGTGGCGTTGGGTAACGGAGCGGGAGGCTTGTGTGCCGTGGGAAACGCTCTCTTTCCGTGTCAACGGCGCGAGCCTTGTGTTACAGCGGAGTTCTCTGTGTCGGTAGGTGCGTTACCCAGAACGCATCACAATCCTGCGGGGCAATCACGAAAGCAGGCAAATCACACAAGTGTATGGCTTCTACGACGAATGCCTGCGGAAGTACGGCAACGCCAACGTCTGGAAGTACTTCACAGATCTGTTTGATTATCTTCCGCTTACGGCTCTAGTAGACGGCCAGGTAAGCCTTGAATAAGGAAAATGCTTCTTTTCCTACAGTTTTGCAGGCGGTATTGTCTGACCTCTGTGTGAACGATCTCAAACAAGCACCTTGTGATCCCAACGTTTTCAAGGGCCGTGTGCTTACTGTGGGTTTGGGGAAGATTTTAGTGAGGTGTTAATACCGAGTTGATGGGATGGGAAGGCTTTTGATTCCACTGCTGCAGGAGCGGCAGGGTAGCGCACGTGTAGGTCAACCTAAACGACCGCTCATCAGGCGGGGATCCCCTCATGGCACATGAGATGTGGGTTGAGTGGTGTCCGTGAGGCAGGATGGTCTTGAACCAGAAGGCCTGGTGTCTCGGCCATCACTCTGATCTCTGTGCGCAAGGTGGAGCCTTTGAGTTTGGTTTCCTTCTGCAGGAATCACGTTTGTTTGCTGCGAGAGCCAGCTGGCCGTGATAGGAACCCAACGGTAGCGGGGTTAAGCTGTTTCTGAGATGGGTCTTCCCATTTTAATAGGCACTGAACAGATTGCTCTCTCTTTTCTGGAACAGATATTCTGTCTCCACGGTGGCCTCTCTCCATCCATAGATACACTGGATCATATCAGGGCTCTGGACCGCCTGCAGGAAGTCCCACACGAGGTAACAGGAAAGGAAACGGGTCATAAACCTAGATGTCTGTTGGTGTAGCCTCACACTGAAATACATTTTTCAGAGAATCGTGGCGTTTTTTGACTGGCACACTGGCTGAGAGGAGGGTATTTGGCAGGGGAAGGTGTTTACTACCTTCAGCCTCACCCCAGACTTGCTGGTGAACAGACAGGAGCCACGTGAAGCTGTGTTGTGTCACCATCCTTCCTCCCCAGCCAGTCCTTTCTTCTGTGGCCTTTCACCGTCTTCGTCGCCTTCTGGGGGCCTGAGATCAGGATTGAAAACCAACCACCTTCTGAGCTCCCAGGGTAGCGAACGGCTCTTCTCTGTTGGAGTGGTCAGGTCAGGGGGGTTGGAACTAGGTGATCCTTCAGGTCCCTTCCAACCCAAACCCTTCTGTGATTCTGAGACTTGAACGTTCCCCGATGAAAACGATCGGCTTGTCCTGCAGCGTTTCCTGCAGTGTCTTAGGGACGACAGCACATGCAATGCCCGGAGGTCTGCCCAAGCCTCCCAGAGCCCTGAAATGAGCGGTGTAACCCCTCCCTGAGTTGGGGGCTGCGTGGTGGGACATCTGCCTGTGCTTAGGTGTAACAATCCGTTACTGCTCCGGGCTTTCCCTGCTCCTCTGCTGCACATCGGTGTGCTGAAACCTGACTGCCCAGCTGGCCTCCGGCTGTGGTGGGTGTGATCCCTGCCGCGGGGCTCGGGCGGGTGGCTGGGAAGCGGCAGCAGGCTCAGGTGGATACCACAGTCCTTGCTGCCCCTCAGTAGCTCTGCGAGAAAAGCCGCTGAGCCTCACTCGCGGTTGGTAGAAGATGTATGGCAGGATGGTTGTGGATACGTCACGGCCAACAATAGGTTGTTCAGGAGAGGAAATGTAATGATTAACACCCTGCCAGAAGGGCTGCTGGAGGCTTGACATCAGCCTCTGGAACAGTTAGTTCATTCCCTCCTACGGGTTGTTCCCCTTCCTGTAAGCTTACTGCGACTTGGCCGGCACCAGCGAACCCGCTGTGTGCCCGTGGAGGCGTGTGCCTTCCCGGGGGGCCCCTTCCGTTACGCGCCGGGGGTCGGGAGGAAGGACGCGGATCTGCTGGCCGTGTCTGTGTGTCGCTGACCGGCGCGCGGGGAAGAGGAGGCGGGGAGGGTTTTCTGCTTGCACGGGCTCGTTTCTCTGTCAGCTGAGCAGGTACCCGTTCTTTGGGAAGGGTGCTGACTGATCCGGTGAGCAACCAGCCCCCACCATGCTTGCGAAATAAACTCACGTGCCTTGTGCAGGGAAGGGCATGCTGGGGGCCTTGTGACTGTCAGTAAAACTTATTTTAAAAGTGTCTTTTTCTTGCTGGTGATCTCATGAAAAACGTGTCGTCTTTTTCAAGGGTCCCATGTGTGATCTGTTGTGGTCGGATCCGGATGATCGTGGCGGCTGGGGTATATCTCCGCGTGGTGCTGGCTACACGTTTGGGCAGGATATTTCCGAAACGTTTAACCACGCCAACGGTCTCACGCTGGTCTCCCGTGCTCACCAGCTCGTCATGGAGGTAGGGCAAGCGCTCTGCTTGGGGGGCTGGCAGAACACAGGTGCCATTTCTTGTCTCCTCTGAGAGACCTGCCGCTGGTGGCTTTGCACAGGCCGACACCTAAATGTTCCCCGGGTAAATACCGAAGAGGGACTTGAATCGTGTGAAAACAACATAAAGTGACGTGCTTTGACCTGCAGTGTAAATAAGGGGATGTCCTGCCCTTCTCTCCCCCGAGGAAAATTGCCAAAGGGACCCTGGCACGCCCCGGTTGCGGAAGCAATAATCTCCTTACCCGCTGGCTGCCCTCCTTAGGCTGCTGCTGCATGAGCAGGCGGCCCTGTAATGCTTGGCAGTCAGATGTGACGGGGGTTAGGCCGTAATTGTGGCCGTTGGGAGGCTGTTCTTGTGTGTCTTGCTGGAAAAATGCCAGGTGGGTCAATGGAGCAGATGTATTTCCAAGGCCTAGCTCCAGTAGATCCCCTAAGCAGCGCTGCCTGTCAGCATCCAGCAGGCAGGTTCTTGTCCGTGGGGGACGCAAGCTGCGGGCATACCAGAACGGTCCTGGGGGTTCTCTGTGGTACAGCGGTGGCGCGAGCTGCGCGCGCAGCAGGTAAACGCGCCGTCGGCAAAGGGCCGGTCTGTCTCTGGGGCGCCTCGAGCCGGTTTTGCCAGGCGACCGGTTTAAAGTGGAACTCAGTCAGTTGGAAAGACGGGAAGCCTGCGATTGCACCAACGCCTTGGATCGTTGCGGGCCTTAAGAAGAACTTCCGACGGGCTGAGGTTTAACAGAGACCGTTCTTTTCTCTCTTTCTGGCAGGGTTATAACTGGTGCCACGACCGGAACGTGGTTACCATCTTCAGTGCCCCCAATTACTGCTACCGTTGTGGGAACCAGGCTGCTATCATGGAACTAGATGACACTTTAAAATACTCCTTGTGAGTAACCTGCCTCGGGCTCTTCTCTCTTCCTAACCCTTCTGTATTGTGAGCAGTGCCTGATCCTTTCCAAAGGGGTTCTTCTGTGAAAAGGCAGCTCAGACTGCTCTGGAATCGACGCGGTGTGCTCTGCCTGCAAGAATACCTAAAAATAAGTACAGTTAAGCTCTTAGAAGCTTCTCTTGGGCGTCCTGCATTATCTCTTCTTTCTGGCTCTTTGGAGAGTTGGAGCTGCGTGTTCTTAATCCCTCTATTGCTCCAGCTTGACAGAGAGAGTAAGGACCGGTCGATTTATGTTCCGTTTTGGTAGCAATAGGCTGTGTGAAGGTGGGTGAGAGAGGCTGATGCTGAGGTCTTGTGAAAGCAGCAATGGGCTGCTGAGTGCTGGGTGGTGCTCGCTGCGAGAGCATCCTTTCACAGAGTCACGGAAGGGTTTGGGTGGGAAGGGACCTTAAAGACCATCCCATTCCAACCCTCCTGCCATGGGCAGGGACACCTTCCACTAGACCAGGTTGCTCAAAGCCTCATCCAGCCTGGCCTTGAACACTTCCAGGGATGGGGCATCCACAGCTTCTCTGGGCAACCTGTTCCAGTGCCTCACCACCCTCTCTGGGAAGAACTTCTTCCTGATATCTAATCTAAACCTCCCCACTTGCAATTTAAACCTGTTACCCCTTGTCCTGTCACTACAGGCCCTTGTGAAAAGTGTGTGTTCCCCCCCCAGCTTTCCTGTAGGCCCCTTTGATCAGCTGCTGAGATTTAATTCCCACAGACGGTTGTTTTGGGACCCAGAATGTTTCCCTGTGGAAGCAGCTGGGATGAGTAAAGCAATAGCGGCAGGGGAGCAAGCCGAGGATTCATTGTGGCATTGTAAAATCACTTGTGGAGGAGGGAAAATGATCCCTTTTTCTTTCCTGCAGCCTCCAGTTCGACCCAGCGCCTCGTCGCGGAGAGCCCCACGTTACCCGTCGTACCCCAGACTACTTCCTATAAACCTCTCCCAACCTTTGTAGAAGGAAGTACACCTGGCGTTTTAAAGAGCAACAATATTTACACGTTTCTGTAAGAAATCGGGGTTCGTCTCAACTTAAAAAAAAAAAAAAAAAATCCCCATCATGGACCAAAACGTGCCATAGCGAGGATGAGGAGCGTTTAGCACAACTTGAGACTGACTTCCTTACAGCACTCCCTCTCCCTCTCCCGTATCCGACAGTCGGTTTGCCTGCTGTGTCTGTAGTCGCGGTGTTCCTCCTGGACTGCTCGGGGAGGAAGAGGCCGCTGTGGGGTGACGCCTCCGTCTCCCCCGACGCTTTCTGTGTTCAGCCCTAGCGCGTAGCTGGCCGGGGTTAGAGTGGGGTCTCGAGGGAAACGCACACTAACCTC